CCCCCCCCCCCCCCCCAGCGATGCCCTCTCCGACCGGATTTCCTTCCCAAAGTGCCTGAGTGCCTCCTGCTCCTGGTCCCTTTCTCTGCCACCGCTACCCAGTGTGGTGACTTCACATTCCTTTCCTGGGCTCTTTCTAACTCTTGCAGGTCCCCAGACTGGGACCTGGTGGCCCTGGGGAGGGGGCAACTTTGCTAAGTTGAGGGGGAACGACGTTGGGGTCCTGGGTTTCCCTGGACTGAAAGTCCATCTCAGATTGGAAGCGAGGTGGTGCAGAGATGGCCTACAGAAGAGCTGGGGGCGGGGAGGCTTTAGATTGTACTAGTATGCCCTTCCAACCCTCCCAAGATTTAGGACTAGGTGTGGCCTTGTGGGACTGCCCTGTTTGAAAGCAGAACTCAAAAGACCTCCCAACTCTGCTTGGGACCTAGGAGACTCTTAGCTAGGGTCAGGCTTTCTCAAGCTAAGAGTCTTTGGAGCAGACCAGTGGAGCTCTAACAAGTGGGGAAGCTGCCAGGCAAAACGACCCAAGGCCATACAGCACTGAGGGGTTGAGCTGCGACCCAAAATGGGCCTCTCACGGTTGCCCTAACATTCCAACCATGGATTGACTTCACGGGGGAACAGACACAGATAACGCGGTAGAAGGGCCACTCTGGCCTGGGAGGCCTTCGTCTACGAAGTGGGAGAGAGAAGCTGAAGGAGAGAGAAGGTGACACAAAGGGATGAGGTGAGAAGCTGGCCAGCCGGAGGAGCGGCAATGGAGAGACAGACACTACAGTCCTGATGCAGGGAACGGAGAAAAGGGGGTCCCTTGGAATTAAGGCTTCCACTTTGGTCTGGAGTATCTGTGGTGTGGGGGCTGACCACTGGTCCCCTGGGAAGTCTGGCCCTAGCACCTCCCCATCGCTGTATACTGCTGACCCCTCCACATTCTTATTTATTGCACGGATCTAAGTTATTCTCACCAGACAGAGCCCAGCTTCTTTTCCCTGGGAAATACGTGGGCCCTGAGCTGGACTTTATATTTTATATCTACAAATAAATCACATTTAATCTTATATTTAGGGAAAGCTGGATGGCAACAACAATAAGGTTTTTTTAAAATTTGCCCAGCTCCCAGAGTTATTTATTTTCTGACTTAAAGTGAGCCAGTTATCTGCCTTGAGTATTTTGTAGACGTTCTGAATAAAGTCAAATTCTCTTTTCCACAGAGAAGTGCATGTCCTCGAGTGTTTTATGTGTGCTCTGAATGAGTAGCCTGAGACCACTTTTGGGCCTCAGGAACTTTTGGGTCACTGGGAGGCTAAATCCCATTGCTAGCTTTTGCAAGTATGTGTGGGTGGAGACTGAGCAAGAAAAAGTTGTGCTCACAGTCCGTGCGGTCTCAGGCAGAGAAAAGTCTTGGGTTTTCAAACTGTCTACCACTTTCACATAGGTCTGACTTTCTACAGCCCAGTGGAAGGCTGGGTTCTGAACAGCAGGCCTCAGCCTTAATCTTAGGTCTTGGGAGGGAAGGGGAGAGGGGTACCCACTCATTAACTGCCTAGAAAGGAGCGGAATACTCTGCTCTTCAGCCAGGGGTCTTTCTCTGGTTGGCATGGATTAGTTTCTTGGGCTCTGGATCCCTTAAAAATGAAGGTGCTGTAGAGGCATGGTCTAGAAAAGCCCTGAAAGCGTAATAAATGATGGTCCACAGGACCAGGGTGAGGACCTTGTTTGCGGCTGGTCAGGGAGGAAGGGAGGGGCCAAGGAAAGCAGCAGAGTCGGACTGTAGGGAAGAGTTAGATTATGTGTCTCCCCCTCAAACTGGGGCTGTGCCAATACTCCTTCCTGAGAGGCCAACCTCAGGCCTGGCAGCAGGAAAGGGTGGGGGGTGGAAGTGGGGGTGCAGAGATGATGTAGACTGTTTACCTTCAGGTTATAGGCTTCCTGGGAAGTTCCCCCGCCCACACGCATTCCAGCCGTGCCTCTCACCCACAGGCCAGACCTTAGAACAGCACAGTGCCTGGGCCTGGCGCATGCAGGGAAGGATTCTTAGGCCTTAGGCCTCCTGGTTCCTAAGGATGGAAGATGGGCTCAGAGAAGCCAAGGAAGGTCTTTGATCTTCTGGGAGATACCTAGAAAGGTCACTACCTGCCCTGGAAAAGAACAGGGAATGAGGCCCAGCCCTCATGGGGATGGGGAAAGGGTGAACACGTTGTGGTCGGTTGTCTGTGAAGAAAGGAGAAACTGTCCAATGGGGATGTGGAACCTGACTTTAGTTCCAGACACCCCATGACGTACACACATCACACACAGGAAGAGGGTGGACACCCCTGTCCACGCCCACTACACCTCTTCCACACAGGAAAAAAACGGCACTGGCAGACAGAAGAGATTTCAATACAATCTATATTATCTCATATATATATTTCTTCCTGACTTTATTTGCTTGCTTCTGTCACGCATTTAAAATATCACAGAGACCAAAATAGAGCGTCTTTGTGGTGGAACGCAGGACAGTCACAGACGAGATACAAAACTAGGGCTCTGGCTTCATACAGCATACAGTTCATTTTCAAGTATTTCCTTTTATGTACAAAGAGCTACTCTACCTGGAAAAAATAAAAAATAAATGAGACAAGATAGGTTATGCATCCTAGGAAGGATGGGGCAGTCGGGTACAGGTTCCTGTCCTGTGTTCCCATGGACATTAGCTTCCTGCCCTGAGCTCCCCCGCAGCCTCACCCACCATGCCAACAGGCAAGTGTCAGGGTGGGTGGGGGACAGTGGGGACAGGACCAGCAACATACTTTGGCCTGGAAGGAAGGGAAAAGCCTGAGAAACAGACTGGTAGAAGCAATCCCAGGAGGGAACCATGGCAACGTCCCAAGGAGCTCCCACCTGCCTTCCTGGGCAACTTGGGACATCTGGCCAGGCCTACTGGGTGGGGCTGAGAGTTGCCCTCTGCACCCTACATGCTGGCCTCTAGGCCATGAGGAAGGAAGGAGGCTAAGAAGGTTGCTAGGATGCAACAGCCCCATGAGGTCCCTCCCCATGGACCCTAGGGAAGGAACCTGTTTGTTCTAGAAGTGACCAGAGGGAGGGAGGGCTTCCAGTGAAGGCCACAAGGCAGGTTCTTCCTTCCACATCACTGTCCACCTCAAGAGGCTACAGAAGCCAAAATCCAAGTGCTGCCTGGATTCCACATGCCAGGTTCTCTGCCACCCTACCTTGGAGTCCCAGGCCTAGAGGCAGCTCTGGGACGTGAGTGGAGAGGGAGCCAGGGGAGAGAATGGGTGGTCCCAGACAAGGGCACCTGACCCAGTGCCGCAAAGTCCTGAGTGCCAGCAGCTCAACAAGGAAGTGCCTGGGAGAGACTGGGGACCGGGGAGGGCTTTCATATGTGACTAAGGCACAGAAGAGATGGGCCGGGGGCCAGAGAGAGCGGAACACCAGGCCCTGCATGGCCAGGGATCCCAGGAGGGTCTGAGACCACCCCTCCCATGACCCCGCTGTATAACCATCCCTCCTCCAGCCTTCTTCTGGAAGTGGTCTGAAATGTGGAGACTCAGACTTCTCCCACGACCCAGGAGGGATAAGCCCCAGGCAGAGACCAGGACCCAGCAGGAGTCTTACTGCTCCATTGAGGAGGTGGTAGGGAACCCAAGCCCTGGCACAGTCAGGAATTATAGACGGGCTCTGCCCCAAACTATCAAGAACTGGACCCAAGTGAGAGAGCAGTATGGGCTTCTGGCTGTCCTCAGCAGGCCAGAAGAGCTAAGAGGCAGCCCAAGTGGCCACAGTGAGGACACCCAAGGGCCCTGCGCCCCACATGTCACCAAAGGGCCCATAGGCACAGAGGCATCCTTCCTAGGGGGCCTGAGGCTCCTGGGGGCTGGCTCCGATCCTTGCAGCATGCTAGGCAGGCCTAGGGTGGGAGAAGGGGAAGAGTCCATGGGGCATTCACATCACCTCCTGCTGCCCAGAATGAGACAAATCTCACACTGGACAAAGATGAACAGGGAAGGGCAGGCAAGTGGGAAGATCAGGTGGGGTCTGGGTATTGCACGGTGTGGGTGGGCTGGGCCTAACAGCCTCGGCAGATAGCTTGTTGGGGAGGGGGCTTAGGATGCAGCTTCTAGCCAAAACACAAGCATTAGACCCAGGCATGGCTGGTTCCAGACGTGTCCCCAGTACAGGATGGGCAGCAGAGGTGTGGCAGCTACAGCCAGTGTCCTCTGCTCTTGCCCCGGGTAGTGCAGGGTTGGCCATGTAGACACATTCCTGAGGCCTGTTCCTCTGGAAGCGATATGCGAGTTGTTTCTGGTCCAATAAATAAAAGGGCAACAGCAAGGTTGTGCTGGCTGCTCCCCAGCCTGGCTGGAAGCTGGAGGAGGCACTTTTCCTTCCCCACCAGGGCCCACATTTAGAACTCATCATCAGAGCTGAGCAACAGAGTCTTCTCATTGTCACGGGCACCGCTAAGGCTGTGGGACCGGGAAAGGCTATGGGTGCCACCACGCCAGGTGGGTCCAGGCTCCAGCGTGGACTGCTGTGTGTACTGCTGGTAGGCAGGAGAGAAGTTGTGGATGGCATCCTGCACAATGTCGTGTGGGTTCATGGTCTCTTTGAGGCTGCTGGAGATGCTCTTCATGGGGGCACAGCGGCCTGCAGGGAGCAAGCAGGTGGGGCAAGGGCCAGAGTAGGAAGAGGGAAACTTGATTAGTTCCTGCCCCTACTTCTGGGACAGACCCCACCCCAATGTGTTTGTTCGCTTGTCCCCTCCTGAGACAACAGTGCTGTTGCTGACTGGAGTGAACAGGGGAGCTGTGAAGGAAGTGAAGATGGAGGGACGAAGGCAACCATCCCGGGAAATGATGCTCACAGGCAGGAGCGACTAGGCAGAAATGGAAGTCTGCAGCAGTTAACCTG